CCTAAATTCATCTGCTTAAACTTCATTCTACTATTCATCATATGCAACTCACCACTTCTCTAATTCTCTTTTTCAACTTTAATCTGTATCTCCTTATTCCTAAGGGAATTTATGACAATATCGGGTATTAAAGTGTCTCTACTATACTTAATTGCATTCTTAATCTCTCTATATGAATCAGACATAACATTAATCGAAATAATGACCTTATACGTTTCATACACTTTTTCATCACAATTAACGATTTCTTGAACAAGTTCGTTGAAAATATCCAAATTTTCATGAAGATCATTTGAATGATCCATTTTAAAATTGAAAAGTCTTTTAAGCAAGTACAACTTATTAGCAGTAGATTTAACCAAATATAAGTCCTCCAACTTTTGTCAAAGTTCTTTTATAGAATCAAGTTTTTCAATTTTTCTCAAAACAGTGTCGATATGTGTAAAATAATTGAAGTGTAAGCAAGTTCATCATATTCTTCTTTTTGTGCTTTTGTCAAATTTGCAAGAAATTTGCCATTTATGACCTTTGAAACTTTTTATTGAACCAAAATCTCATTCATCTTTTGTTGTCAAATTGAAAGTCTAATTTCCCATTGAAAATTCCAACTTCGAAATGTGAAGACGTTTTGAAAAAAGAACAACCAAAGTGCACAAATAAATCACATAAAGTAATCCTACGCCGTAGTATACACCATTCTAGATTCTCAGGGTTTCGTAAGATTTTCGATCTTAGATAATTGAATATTCAAACAGGTCAAGTCTAAGTGTTCTAACATGATAATTAATGCAACACAAAAGTATATCAACAAAAATTCAAATTCTCACGAATACAGGCAATTAAACGCATAAGCAATTATCAGCTTGCAGTTAAATCCAACACTTTAAATATGGCAAATAATTCCTAAATTTCTAGCACAAGCAATGGTTACCCCACACGGTAATCTCAATCATATTGTCACCCCCACACGATGACGCTCTAAAGTTGAAATTTAAATTTGGGACAAGCCAATATACTAGGGCGGACCAATCTGAGTCTGTAAATGACGAGAGACGCGAATTTACCACTTTATGGCCACCCACTATCCGCCTTAAAGCTTTCAGGAATTGCAACAACCATTCGAACACCGAACTGAATCACAAACGCACAGGGACAAAATTGTCCAATTTTCACAGTATAACCTGAAATAGAAAAATAACACCACCAAAATGTCAAGAAAAATGTCAAGAACAAATTGTTTGAAGACACCATCGTCGGGAAATGCCCCACGCCCTGTGATCACGTGCCACCTACTTAGGTGTGCCCCGGTTTGCAAATCAAGGTTCTGGCCTCCGTTTCACCAATGGACTTCTGGATTGCCCGGAAATCAAGCTTACATGTCCCGTTTTGGGATAATTTTTGAATAGTTTGTTCCAGCCGATTTCCGCTTCGTTTCTAGGTGTTTTCAGGTCTTTTTTTTGCTAGAAATCCACCACCAATGTGGCTCTGATACCAATTGTCGCGGAATGGACCTTCGATTTGGTGGAATCTGAGCTCAGTTCAACTTACCAATATCAAACACAATCAAACAATTACTTCTACCCACAACAAATATTATAACTCTTTGGTTGCCACTTCTAATATACTCAAAAGGAACACAAGATGGTAGTGTTTGCAAAAAGGGGCCTCAAAGGCAGAGAGAAGGCAAGGCACGAAGGAGGAGAATAAAGCAACCACATGTTATCTCTTCAACACATTCACAAACCACACACATTTCCTCAATACAAAATGGGCATATATATATATATATGTTAGGTTATATCATCAATTGGGCCAAGAAACAAAGTAATGGGCCAGCACATTAAAAGGAACATCCGAGAATTATAGTGGTCATGATCAACATTAACTGATTAAGTTTCTTCCAATGGCCCGAGTTTTTTTCGGGTTGAGTCTATAAATTGATTGTGTTGATAGTTATTGCACTCATCGGCTGATGCCTATGAAATATAATCCAAAACTGTTTAAAATCATTTTCGGGATTTATTGGGTATCAAAAAATCCAACAAGTTTAGGTTGTAACTACAATTTATTCTAACAAGATTACACAATGTGTAGTAAACCATATATAAAGCAACAGTGAAGTAAACAGAAAGAAAAGGAATAGTTTTCAGACAAGAATTTTTCTTACAGTTTGGCCAACGTTAATCTTCATTGGCAAGGAGATGTTGGTTTCAGATTTACAATTGTTTGACAGAAACATGGTTGGCCAAATCCAACCAAAAAACAACAATCATGACAAATCTACAAGGAAATAAGAACAAGAATCATGGTTTTCTGATGAACAAATGAATGTTTTAAAGAAGAATATAAATGAAATTTGCAGGAATTAACATTATCCTGGCAATACTATCCTGGTTGAATTCATCGTCATAGTTGTTGATTGTCCAGTGTTAACATGATCTTCAATTTGTCCAGCTGCCCATCTCCTTAAAATTCTCATCAATGTCCCTGCCTTTCTTTTTGCTCTCCCCGTCCCCATTCCCATTATTTCCCACACCACTCTCTCGATTCCCGTGATCAAGGCCAGCTCCGAAACCATCTCCAACCCCCCTTTCCGACATATAATAACTAATGTGGATGCAGCACTTTCTTTAGCCCTATCGCTACCATCCCTCAAAACCTTCGCCAATTTTTTCATCATATTCCGATGATAAGCAGCCGTGATTGCCGCCAATCCACCCCGTTTCACTACCACTTCGAGGATGGTAACTGCCTCCTCGGTCAGCGAATCGATGACCTTGGCAACCATGTCCACCACCCCTCCCTCAATTAACTTCCCTACTGCTTCCCTGTCACACGCCAAATTCAAAATTGCCACCATTGCATCCATTTTCGTGTTTGTAGGGCCTTGCCTCGCCAAATCGAGTAATCCCTTCACGACACGTGTCTTTTTACCTAGTCTTTTCCTATAAGCATGTACACCTGTCAAACTAAATATGGTGGCTGCTGCATTTCCCTTTGCTTCCCATGTGGCACCCGACCTTAACACCTCGATAATGCCGTTCAAAACTCCATATGTCTCCATTATCCTCGTCTTATTTGCCTCGAGGATCGAGAGATTAAGAATTGTTGTAACCGCGTTAACTTGTAGGCTCGGGTGTGCCGAACCTAAGATTTTGACCAATAAAGGCAAAGCTCCAGCCTCGGCAATGCAAGCTCGACTATCCGAGTCCATCTTAGCCAATATCCGTAGCTCATGAACGATGAGATTTAACGCTTCCGGCGATTGTGACGCCGTTAATTTGTTAAGCAAAAACGTCACTGTCATCTTGGTGGCTTCCAACGCGGTTTTATTCATAACCATGCCGCTAGATTTGACGTTCGTTTCCGTGGACTCAAATGGAATTCTCTGGTCGCGGCACCACATAGCTATCAAATTCTTCAACGCCAGATTGGGTATTAATTGCGTGTGGGCCAGGGTCTGACCTGTTTTAGGACACGTGTTATGTCTTGATTCGATCCACAGGCTTATAGACGACCTGTCATACGTTTGTCCCGTGGACACCACCACAGGGTCCCTCATCAGATCAAGAGAAATTTCTCTGGTCGCGGCACCACATAGCTATCATATTCTTTAACGCCAGTTTGGGTATTTTTTGCGTGTGGGCCAGGGTCTGACCTGTTTTAGGACACGTGTTATGTCTTGATTCGATCCACAGGCTTATAGACGACCTGTCATACGTTTGTCCCGTGGACACCACCACAGGGTCCCTCATCAGATCAAGAGAAATAGGACAGCGAAAATCCGCCGGGAAATTCACATCCACCGACGATCTCCGCCGTCTGCTGGTGGTTCTAGGCGTCGAGGCACCATATAGCACACACTTTGCATAGCGTACAAGCCCAATCAGCGCGACTATATCGGATTTTGACTTGTCATCGTTTTGATTCTGCACTTCATCTTCTAAATTCTCAATTTCTGCACTGCAACTTGTTGAATCGCTTAAATTCAATCTGTTGAAAATCTGTGAAAGTTTTGAAGTATCAGGAACGATTTCTCTTTTAATATCGTCAAGCATTTTCAAAACCTGAACTCGAAGATTTTCGTCGTTAGAATCAAAATCAGATTCCTTTTCTGAGCACTGTTTCTTGATCAGATTCAACAACTCTTCAACATCTTCGTTTAAATCCAACTCTTTTCCCGGGAAAATATCTAGAAGGATCGATAATTCTCCGGTCAGTTGATGAAATGAATTCGAGATAGATGGTGTTTGCATTAGCAGCCACATCTTACTACAGCTGGAACAATCTTCCAGGAGAATTTTTATTCTTTGCAAACTTATGTACAATTCTTCGAAACACAAGGCAGCTGAAGGTGGAAAAACATTTACCGGGTAGCGAAGAAGCTCTTCGAAAAAGATTGAGAGGAGCCTTGATTTTCTCGTTATTGAGGACGAGCTTTTCTTGAGGAGAATTCTGAGTGGTGAGAGAGATGATATTTCTTGAGAGAGAAGAAACAGAGACAGGAGGAGCTTGTTATCGGAGAAACTCGGCGAAACAAATGCTCCGGCAGACGGCAGCCGTTTTCTTGCCGGAAAACCTTCTTCTGACACCGCCATTCACCAATATCACCGATGAATTTATATTATACAAACTACAGATGGAAAATCAGAGAGATTGTTGAATCAAAATGTTTGTGCTAATGTTTGAAGATTCATTTAAATCAAGAAACTCTTATTGAAAACAAACGATGGTGGAAATGAGATTGAAGATCAAACAATGAGCTGTTAATGGGGCCCAAGAAGTTTCAGCTAGCTTTTTCTATAGTCTACTTTTAACAAAAACATATAAACAAATACAGTAATGTAATTGTATACACGTCTCTCTCTCTCTATATATATATATATTACTTGGCAGCAATTGACTTGGTCGTTAGAATGCAAATAATGATCGAATCATTCATCGGAATGGAGGCGCCTTTGGATGCCAACGGAGTTTAAGTATATAAGTAACATATACATAAGTAGACGGAAAGGTGACAAGAGGTGTATTGACAATCGAATCGAATCGATCCGATGAAAGTTAACAATATATATATCTATATAAATAAATACATGCACAGTCAGCATTATATGTGCCGGATAAGTTTGGGTAAGTATTACTTAATGGTTTTTCTATGATAAGATGACATGGACATTTGGCCTAACGTTGACGACTATGTTTTTAGCAGACAATAGTTTGAGGAATTCAAAATGACAAAGCCAAACCCGGCGGTAAGGATGGGAATGGGTTAGGGGTGGGATGTTTCCAACACCCGCCGGAAGTTGGCAGGTGAGACAGAATTACATGGCGAATAGTTATTTTCGTGATAAAGAGATATATATGCAATATAAAGTTAAATTATAAAGGCCTGTTTCCTTTTGTAAAAGTTATAATTTTAGTAGATTTTAATAAAAATTAGTGAAATGTATAAATAAAATTAATTGTTGGCTTAAATTTTTAAACCAAACATGGGCTAAATATGTACATATGGGATCCACTTCATTAATATAATAATTTTATGTCGTCCCACGTGGAATCATCCTCAATTTGTACTAATAGCATTACTAGTTCGCGTATAAATGAAATATGAAGAATTACACAGTTGGTCCCCAATTTATGGTTTGACTAACAAGTTGATCCTCAAACTTTAAAAATGGCTAGTGAGTTGGTAATTTCAACCTTTTTTTATTAAATTGTAAATGAGTTCTTAATGAAGGAAACTGTCCAAATTTTAATTAAATGTCACTTAGCCCTTACGAAGTTATGTCGTGTTTCCTACAACTTGTTACTCGATCAGTATGTTGATTACTCATTGTACATTTTTCTCTCTAAAATAATAAGAATGGCCATAAAAGATGAGCTGCAGACCGGCAATAATGGACAACAGTAAATATGGTTGGTATGGACTTTTTGTTCTTTTACATGTAAAATTATTTTCAATGAAAAGTTCATTAATGGGAGCTGCCCGGATTCGATGAATCTTTAATTAATTGTCCGCCAAATACATGAAGTCATTAAGAAAGATTCTTCTTTGAATAACACAAGTTCAAGAAAAAATCTTAGGACTGACCAATGCATTGAGAGAAATTAAAGAAATTTCTTTTGTTTACAACACCGACCACTAGGATAATTTAGTATTACCTAGAAGTGAACCGGTTTTTTATTTTATTAAGAGACTAATTTATGGGTTTTTGTGTGCATATGAAGATTATATAGGCAACATGTAGAGGAGATTAATATAGTTTAGTTATTCGTATTATTCGTGAAAACTTGACTCTATCGAGTTAGTTTGATAGGAGATTAAATAAATGAACGAGTTAATCAAGTATACCCTTTTAGTCATTAAGGATGTAACTTATATTTCTTGGCTCATTATATTAGAATCACATAAAAAATTCAAAAACAAGACCCATGTTTTCGTTTCAACTCTGGAAAAATACATTTTTACAAAATCATCAATTTTGTCACCGACTTACTAGGGTATCAAGTGTACATTTATATGTAATTGCAAAAATATAATAAACTAAAAAAGACAGGTAAATACATTAACATGTTTAACACGTTCGAAAAGACAACTTAGGTGCATATCAATTTTGAAGGGAAGTACACCAAACATTGTTCGACTTAGAATAGAAGTTTGCAAGAAAATAAGTCATATTTTGGCTAAGGCGTTTGCCCTTTTGGACATTAATTTGGTTTAGATTTGCTTTAGCTCATTTTCATGATTACTGTGACAATGACAAACAATGCATTGATCCATTATCCTTCACATCAGCCATCACTACGACTTTGATTTATTAAAAATCCGATTTTTCCTCTTTCTTTTATTCTATAATTAATTACTTTTTTTCTAGCTATATATAATGACTAGTTATATTAATTATTAAAAATTTTTTTTTTCTTTTCTTATGATTTCTGGGATTAGGATTTCCAATTTTTTTGCTCAATACATACTTTAGTGTACTTTTAGTATAAATTCATACCTTCAATAACAATCCTAATTCGATCCACTGAAATGTAGATATCAACTTTTACTAAACTCTGTGTCACTGTGTGTTTATATCTCTTGTGGTTTCAATAGATTACCATGACCTTATGTAAATTATGATTATAGTTTTCTTTCTTAAATTAGTTTGAAAACTATCTTTTTCTTGAAAATTATAAATATTATAGTGATTAAGAATATAAACTGACATATGTATCTAATATTAACTGTTTGTGTCATTTGCTGCACACCCCTCATCGATTTGAAACAAAGAAATATTGGTTAAAAATAATTCTGCCTAAAGTATTCATATAAATTTTGTTTTCGATCCACTTCTTTTAAGACCTCGAGCATTCAAAGTCCTATGAAGCTCTAAGTTCTGGCTTATAGTTTCAAGGAATATTATTCTTCTACCCTAGTTGCATATTATACTTTTCATTTTCCATCATGAGTTACATTAGGAAAAATAAATTGTATAGCCAATTCAAAATTAAAATATTGTAGGAAAAATTGCTGCCGCAGTCCCAAACCTTTGCATTTGTCGCAGACTTTACCTCAACATTCACTTTATACCACTATATGTCCCAAACCTTCGATAAATTCGCAGCATCCACATTTCCGTTAATTGACCAAGAAAAAATATTTTGACCATATTTTAACTATTTTAAGAGGGGCAAAATGATAACTTTATATTTATTTATTATAAACATTCAAAATATTAAATCAGAAAAGAAAAGAAAAGAAAATGAAGTTTTCTTCTTTCTTACTGCCAAATACCAGACCAAACCCATGCCACCACCGTCGTTGTCGACACCGTCTCCAACAAACCACCGCCTATACCAACCACCACCACCACCACCACCACATCCTCAAATCCATCCCCTCATCCACCTATATCAATAGTCCATGCATTAAAATCTTTCTTGGAAGATCCGTCCGAGGATTGTGATGCCTCCCGCCGTTGATAAAGTTCTTTTCTTTCTCTCTCTATATCACACACAAATGTTTCAATATCAGGCGGCTGATAGCTACCTCTACATAGAAACATCCACATAAAATTAATAACAAGTTTTTAAAGTAGGTATGAGGTGGTTTGGTAGCAGTTTAGGAGGAATTTAAAGAAGGTAGATCTATAAAATCATTAAATCCATCGTTCAATATAGGAAATTTTAACACATTAGAGTTTATTTTCCAGCAATGAAACTGTTAGATTCTAGATGCTTCTAGATCCCTCGAGCTGCAGCTTATAGTTGTGATTCATTTATGTTAAGTAGTTAGTTAGATAGTTAGAATGTTAGTTAATTTTGGCGCCAATTTCATTTTTCTATTTATGTAGCTACTGTATTCATTTCCTTTTTAGTTGAATAGAATTCATTTCTTTTCTTCTCCATTTTTTCTCTTGAATCTTATATGGTCAGAGCAACTGCTTCATTCGCTGCTTTCCTTTCATAAAAACAATTAATCCATTGCTTGATTCGATCATAGCATGGAGCCTAGAAATCAACTAGAGCCAAGGCAGGTTATGAAGTTCGATATTGATGATCCTGCTAGCCCATACTTTCTCCATCATTCGGATAGTCCCGGATTGATTTTGGTGTCTCAAGAACTCACTGGAGAGAACTATGCCTCATGGAGTAGTGCAATGGTTATTGCACTGTCAGTGAAGAATAAGCTTGGCTTTGTCAATGGTTCCATATCCAAGCCTAAAGATGGCGAGCCAGAACTGATGAACTCGTGGATCAGAGACAACAATATAGTTGTCTCATGGATTCTGAATTGTATTTCTAAAGACATCTCGGCTAGTGTTATCTATGCAACTTCCGCAAGTGAAATATGGAATGATTTGAGAGATAGGTTCCAGCAGAAAAATGGGCCTCATACCTTTCAATTGAGGAACGAATTAATGAATTTATCTCAGAATCATGATACTGTGAACGTGTACTTCACTAAACTCAAGACGATCTGGAATTGAGTAATTATCGCCCCAATTGCAGCCGTGGAAGTGCACTTGTAATGGTATGAAGGGTCTAAATGAGCACTATCAGACGGAATACGTAATGTCCTTTCTTATGGGACTAAATGACTCCTTTTCTAAGGTTAGAGGACAAATTTTACTATCTGATTCATTACCTCTAATCAATAAGATTTTGCATTGATAAATCAAGAGGAAAACCAAAGGAAAAGAACACATATAGATGCTGGAGATAGTTCAAGCAATTGATAATAGTAGATCAACTACTGGATCTGCTAACTATGGTACAAATATGAGATATGGAGCTACTGATAATAGCAGATCAGCTTTTGGATCTTCCAATTACGATTATAACATGAGGTATGGAGCTGCTAGAAACTTCAGGAAGGACAAAGCATATTGCACATACTACAAAATTCATGGGCACTCAATTGACAAGTGTTACAAAATTCACGGATACCCTCCTGGATTTAGGTGAAATCAAGTGATCCCTCTTGACCAAATAATGTGAATCAGATCTCTGTTTCTGCTCATACTTCTACTAATGGACAGAAGGAAGATAAGAAAGAACATAGCAATCAGTTGTTGGTAATTTTGTCCAAAATTTGAATACTAATCAG